CTACTCCCCCAGGATCCATTGGTGACCATCCCTAAGGCCCAAAGGAGAGTGATTTAATTGCTGACCCCTACCGCAGCCCACAATTTGAGAAGACCTTTAGAGGCATCATTCTACTGCCCACTTCAGAGTGAAAGCTTATCCATTGCGAGCTGCATCCTTTTCCAGGACAAGAGGGGACCTCTGGTTTTGATTACTGCGCTTATTAATTGCGCATCTGGTGAGTGCGCAGTTTTATTGTTTCCTACACGACACCGAATTTACGCCTTATTGGGAGTATCTGAGTCACCTTCCTGATTGTATCTTCTTAAAGAGCACTATAGAACTTTTACACACAATTTTATACCACTTCTGGACTTTATAATTTTTGGTCTTATATTATATTATTTTATGAGTTTAGCGTTGAGCCTCAGGCATTTATATATATATATCACTTTTTATTAGCGCTGCACTATCTGTTTTACAATATTTAAGAAGGTTTTAAGGTTTCCTTTTAGTGCTGCTTCAATTTTTAACTTTTAGCACTCGCTGAATTACACTTTTTATGACCTAAATTAATGACGAAATCTGATTTTATAATTTTTTTTTACTGGATATGTTTTATAGTAAAAAGTCAAAAATATTGTTTTTTTTTTTTCAAAATTGTCAGTCTTTTTTTGTTTATAGCGCACAAAAATAAAAAATGCACAGGCGATCAACTACCACCAAAAAAAGCTCTATTTGTGGGGGAAAAAAAGGACGTAAATTTCATTTGGGTGCAGCGTTGCATGACCATGCAATTGTCAGTTAAAGTATAGCAAAAAATGGCCTGGTCAGGAAGGGGGGTAAATTCTCTGGTGGGCAAGTGGTTAACTGGTATCTCTACTAATACCACTGCTGCTGCTGCGACTTCAGGTCATGTGATCCAGAGCAAACATGTCCCTGGCTTCTTATGGCTGAGTGGTATTATTATTATTATTATTATTATTATACAGTATTTATAAAGCGCCAATAGTTCGCTCAGCGCTGTACATTACAAAGGGGGACAGAACATGTGACAGAACAATACCAATACAATGCAAAACATGAGGGGATCGAGGGCCCTGCTCTTTGGAGCTTACAATCTAGGAGGGAGGGGATGGTGGTACAGGAGGAGATAGCTGTGGGGGATGGAGTGGTAGGAAGAGTGGAGGAGGTCGGCAGGTTAGCAGGGGGTGGGGTAGGCTTCCCTGAAGAGATGGGTTTTCAGGGTGCGCCTAAAGGAGAGGAGAGTAGGTGATAATCTGATGGATTGGGGCAGGGAGTTCCAGAGGATGGGTGACACCCTGGAGAAGTCCTGGAGGCGGGCATGGAGGAGGAGGAGACCAGGGAACTAGAGAGAAGGAGGTCTTGTGAGGAGTGTAGTGTGCGTGTTGGGTGGTACTTGGATATTAGGTCAGTGATGTAGTTCGGGGCAGTATGGTGGACGGCTTTGTACATCAGTGTTAGGATTTTGAATTTGATCTGTTGGGCAATCAGAAGCCAGTGGAGGGATTGGCAGAGGGGGGGGGTGGCGGAGATGGAGTGGTTGGAAAGGTGAATGAGTCTGGCAGCCGTATTCAGGATGGACTGAAGCGGGGATAGCCAGCGGCGAGGCAGGCCAGTGAGGAGGGAGTTGCAGTAGTCGAGTCGTGATATGATGAGGGAGTGGATGAGCTGTTTAGTGGTTTCTGGGGTGAGGAACGTGCGGATTTTGGCGATGTTGCGGAGGTGGAGTCTGCATGAGTTTGTTAAAGATTGGACTTGGGGCTGGAAGGATAGGTTGGAGTCCAGAATGACACCAAGTACTCTGGCCTGCGGGGCGGGTTTGATATTGGCGTTGTTGGATGTGATGGAGAAGTCAATGGGGGGTGGAGTCCGGGCTGGGGGGAAGACAAGGAGCTCGGTTTTGGAGAGGTTCAGTTTAAGGAAGTGGAGCGACATCCAGTCTGATATGTCGCTCAGCAGGTGTGCGATTCGGGCGGAGACTGAGGGGGTGAGGTGGGGGGTTGAGAGATAGATTTGTGTGTCGTCGGCATAGAGGTGGTAGTTGAAGCCGTGAGAGTGTATGAGTTGGCCAAAGGAGGCGGTGTAGATGGAGAAGAGAAGGGGCCCGAGGACAGAGCCTTGAGGGACCCCAACAGAGAGGGGGAGTGAGGGGGAGGTGGTAGCATTATAGGTGGTATGTATCTGCTGCCCTCCATGCTTACAGACTGGCGGTTTGACATTTCCTTTTTCCTGCACCAGGCAATTCTGTCAACGATCGTCATTGCCAACCTCAAAGGCATGTACAAGCAGTTCATGGATATATCCATCCTATGGCGAACCAACAAGTACGATATGGTAAGTGTGTGCTGTGCTTTTAGCTAGTCACTGTACATAAAGCTGAACTCCGGGCACAAAAACCTTCATTTAAATACAGTATCTCCCAGAAGTGAGTCCACCCCTCACATTTTTGTAAGAGCATGGAGCTGTGTGTAATCTGAGACCTGAGAGAAGGGAATGGACATTCCCCCCCTACACAGTCTTGTAGGGAAATATGTACAGCTGAGGCCAGTCCCGAGACAAGTCCACTTAGCACCCAGGGAAAGGATGCAGAATTGTAGCCCCTCCCCCGCTATTAATTCATTTATTTATTTATTTCAGGTACTTATATAGCTCCATCAATTTACACAGCGCTTTACATATATATTGTACATTCACATCAGTCCCTAACCCTCATGGGGCGTATAATCTAAGGTCCCTAACAGGGGCGGACTGACAACTCATGGGGCCCCTGGGCAAAAGGGGATCATGGAGCCCGTGTCCCTGCCCACACTCAAAAAAGCACCAGGGGCATTTCATGCGGCCCCCTACTGACCCCTGGCAGTGCCCAAGTGCTTGAATGGTCAGTCCGCCCCTGGTCCCTAACCCTCAAGGGGCGTACAATATAAGGTCCCTACCTCACATTCATATACTAGGGCCAATTTATACAGGATCATATTAACCTACCAGCATGTCTTTGGAGTGTGGGAGGAAACCAGAGTACCCAGAGGAAACTCACGCAGGCACAGGGGAGAACATGCAAACTCCAGGCAGGTGGTGCCGTGGCTGGGATTCGAATCAACGACCCTAGTACTGCCAAGTGGAAGTGCTAACCATTTAGCCACTGTGCTGCCCAAACCATTTAGCCACTGTGCTGCCCAATTCATGCCATAAATGGGTCTTCTATCCTGTGTCCATTGTCTGCCCACTTGTTCTGCTGTACCCAGGGTAGCCGCCCCTCCTGCCCACCCCTTGTCCCAGGTCTGGCTGAGGCTGTGTGCTGGAGCTTCCTCCACTTCCCCCTGGATCTTTTGGAGTCTGCAAGTGACTCATGCAGATAGCAGAGGAAGGAGACATCAGAAAGAAATCACACTCAGTGCTTTGAATTGAGGCAAGTACACTCTGTAGAGGGATATGCTTTGTTCATTTTTCATTTCAGATGTTTACAACCACTTCAAGGTCTGTACTCAGCATGTATCCAGAACCAATAAAGCAGTCCTTTGACTTTTTATAGAACTGGCCAGTGACAGGTCTTGTGCTCTCCTTTCCAGCTGATATGGTTGGTGACGTTCTTCTCGACCATCTGCCTCAACCTGGATATCGGACTTGCAGTTGCTGTGGTGTTTGGATTATTCACAGTGACCTTCAGGACCCAGTTGTGAGTTTCAGAAGTTAGCCATGATGGTGCCCAAAACACCCATGCCGCCATATTGGGCTTGTTATATTGTCAGTGACCCCCATACAATCATTTCCATGAATATGCTTCTTGTTACTAATTGCTTTCTCCATTCTAGCTCTTTTTTTTAATAAGATTACACTTTAAAGCGGTATTAAACCCAAAACCAAAAATGTAATATATTGCAGCTCACCAACCATTAGATGTGGCGGCTGCATTAGTTTTCTTGTTTACTTTTTTTATCCCTCTGTTTTCACCTGGTATTTTGGCCAGTAACACACCTCCTGTATTAGAGCGCCCCCACTCTGGATGAAGGAGCACAGGGGGCACCTTAGGACAGCAGCATTGTTAGTCTGGGGAGGGAGGGGAGTGTTAGATGGACTAGCAGTTTTAGATACACTAACAAATTGAAGCCAAAATCCAGCTAACACTTTATAAGCAGTTACAGAAAACAGTTGTTTTCCTTTTGAGATAAAGGTTTAAAGTGTTACTAAACCCACAACAGTAAAATCAGTCTGTAGATGCAGTAAAGCATGCTGGTTATACTGACTGTGGAACCTAAGGGACTAATCCTCTGCATTGTGTAAAAACATTGTTTGACCCTGTCTTCTCTGATCCTCCCATTCTTCCAGTGTCCCCCTCTTATCTCCTGATAAGACATATGTGTGGAGACACTCTGCACATGCTCAGTTTGGTGTGAATTGCTAGAGAGGTTTTTTTTTCTTGGGAGAGTGCATGTGATCAGCACAGGGCCAATTAGCACTGTCCAGACAGAGGTCAGGGGTTCTGCATCCTCCTGGAGGAGCATGAAAACTCCTCCTACATGCTTTAACCAGTGCTCTGCTGGACACTGATAGATGTCACAAGACTGCTATATACTGCTGCTAAGAAAAGGTATTTAGCAGTTTATATTTACTAAAATAATTGCATTTCCATGTTGTGTGTACTGTGGGAGACCAGACATAGTGAATGCAGGGTCCGGGGAGCCGGATATAGTGAATGCAGGGTGGGGAGAGCGGATATAGTGAATGCAGGGTCTGGGGGAGACCGGATATAGTGAATGCAGGGTCTCGGGAGACCAGATATAGTGAATGCAGGGTCCTGGTAGACCGTTATATATAGTGAATGCAGGGTCCGGGGAGACCAGATATAGTGAATGCCGGGTCCGGGGGAGACCGGATATTAGTGAATGCAGGGTCCGGGGAGACCAGATATAGTGAATGCAGGGTCTGGGGAGACTGGATATAGTGAATGCAGGGTCCGGGAAGACCAGATATAGTGAATGCAGGGTCCGGGAAGACCAGATATAGTGAATGCAGGGTCCGGGGAGAGCGGATATAGTGAATGCAGGGTCCTGGGGAGACCAGATATAGTGAATGCAGGGTCTGGGGAGACTGGATATAGTGAATGCAGAGTCCGGGAGAGAGCAGATATAGTGAATGCAGGGTCGGGGAGACCGGATATAGTGAATGCAGGGTCCGGGGAGACCGGATATAGTGTGAATGCAGGGTCCTGGGAGACCAGATATAGTGAATGCAGGGTCCGGGGAGACTGGATATAGTGAATGCAGAGTCCGGGAAGAGCAGATATAGTGAATGCAGGGTCTGGGGAGACCAGATATAGTAAATGCAGGGTCCGGGGAGACCAGATATAGTGAATGCAAGGTCTGGGGAGACTGGATATAGTGAATGCAGAGTCCGGGGAGACCAGATATAGTAAATGCAGGGTCCGGGGAGACCAGATATAGTGAATGCAGGTCTGGGGAGACTGGATATAGTGAATGCAGAGTCCGGGGAGACCAGATATAGTGAATGCAGGGTCCGGGGAGACCGGATATAGTGAATGCAGAGTCCGGGGAGACTGGATATAGTGAATGCAGGGTCCGGGGAGACCGGATATAGTGAATGCAGAGTCCGGGGAGACCGGATATAGTGAATGCAGGGTCGGGGAGACCAGATATAGTGAATGCAGAGTCCGGGGAGACTGGATATAGTGAATGCAGGGTCGGGGAGACCGGATATAGTGAATGCAGAGTCTGGGGAGACCAGATATGGTGAATGCAGGGTCCAGGGAGACTGGATATAGTGAATGCAGGGTCCGGGGGGAGACCGGATATAGTGAATGCAGAGTCCGGGGAGACTGGATATAGTGAATGCAGGGTCCGGGGAGACCGGATATAGTGAATGCAGAGTCCGGGGAGACTGGATATAGTGAATGCAGGGTCCGGGGAGACCGGATATAGTGAATGCAGAGTCTGGGGAGACCAGATATAGTGAATGCAGAGTCTGGGGAGACCGGATATAGTGAATGCAGGGTCCGGGGAGACCGGATATAGTGAATGCAGAGTCCGGGGAGACTGGATATAGTGAATGCAGGGTCCGGGGAGACGGATATAGTGAATGCAGAGTCTGGGGAGACCAGATATAGTAACACTTTAAATAAAGCTGACAATTGTAAGTACCTTCATCAGTGGTAAATGGTTTGTCTCAACACTCTAACTGCTACAACTGCAGGATAGCTTGTTCTGCTGATTACTTTATAATTGTAATGATTGTACAGTAATGATTATTTTAGAACTGTTTTCCATTTCACAGACCTCATTACTCTGTCCTGGGGCAAATTGCAGAAACGGATATATACCGAGATGCAGAAGAAAATATTATGGTAATGCTGTCACGCAGGTGGGAGGTAGCCAAGGTCAGCGACAGAAAGCAAATATTTATTAGTAGAAATAAAAGGTTTATTTTAACCCTTCCCGTCCGAACTGGCATCCCTTTCAAAAGTTCAGAATGCGGGGGGGGGGGGGGGGGGGGGGGGGGCCAGAAATGATTGGTCGATCACATGACCACTGTGGTTGGCTGTCATTGTGGTCACATGGTCAAGACCGGGTCCCATCAGCTACTGATTTATAGTGGGGGCCAGGAGTTGTATTTCACAGCTCAGTCATTGTGCTAGGAGTGCATAGTGAGTGTGCTCTCAGCACAGAAACCTTGGCCGTCCAGCAACACATATGTGCGGCATGTGGGCATTGAAGCTCACCTTTTTTCTGATGAAAAAGGGCTTAAAGTGTTACTAAACCCACAACAGTACAATCAGTCTGTAGATGCAGTAAAGCATGCTTGTTATACTCACTGTTGGACCTAAGGGGTTAATCCTCCGCATTGTGTAAAAAGGCTGTTCGATTATGTCTTCTCTGAACCTCCCCTTCTTCCAGTGCCCCCCCTCTTATCTCCAAATAAGACATTTCGTGTGGAGACACTCTGCACATGCTCAGTTTGGTGTGTATTGCTAGAGAGTTTATTTTTATTGGGAGAGTGCATGTGATCAGCACAGGGCCAATCAGAACTTTAACCAGTGCTCTACTGAACACTGATAGAAGTCACAAGACTGCCATATACCGCTGTTGAGAAAAGGTATTTAGCAGTTTATAGTTACTAAAATAATTTCATTTCAATGTTGAGTGTACCGTGGGAGACCAGATATAGTGAATGCAGGGTCTGGGGAGACCAGATATAGTGAATGCAGGGTCTGGGGAGACCAGATATAGTGAATGCAGGGTTCGGGGAGAGCGAATATAGTGAATGCAGGGTCCGGGGAGACCGGATATAGTGAATGCAGGGTCCGGGGAGAGCGGATATAGTGAATGCAGGGTCCTGGGAGACCAAATATAGTGAATGCAGGGTCCAGGGAGAGCGGATATAGTGAATGCAGGGTCCGGAGAGAGCGGATATAGTGAATGCAGGACCTGGGGAGACCAGATATAGTGAATGCAGGGTCCGGGGAGACCAGATATAGTGAAGGCAGGGTCCATGGAGACCAGATATAGTGAAGGCAGGGTCCGGGGAGAGCGGATATAGTGAATGCAGGGTCCGGGGAGACCAGATATAGTGCATGCAGGGTCCAGGTAGACCGGATATAGTGAATGCAGGGTCCGGGGAGACCAGATATAGTGAAGGCAGGGTCCGGGGAGACCAGATATAGTGAATGCAGGGTCCGGGGAGACCAGATATAGTGAAGGCAGGGTCCGGGGAGACCAGATATAGTGAATGCAGGGTCCGGGGAGACCAGATATAGTGAAGGCAGGGTCCGGGGAGACCAGATATAGTGAAGGCAGGGTCTGGGGAGACCAGATATAGTGCATGCAGGGTCCGGGTAGACCGGATATAGTGAATGCAGGGTCCAGGGAGACCAGATATAGTGAATGCAGGGTCCGGGGAGACCAGATATAGTGAAGGCAGGGTCCGTGTAGACCAGATATAGTGAAAGCAGGGTCCGGGGAGACCAGATATAGTGAATGCAGGGTCCTGGGTTTAGTAACACTTTAAATATGCAAGTCTGATATAAAGGGTCTGCTGTTACCGACTTGGTTTTGAAGGTACGAGGCTTTTAGGTATCACCTTCATCCTATTACTTGGGGGGATTGACCTGGAACAAGCATACATGAACTCCCAATCTGGTAATTCTGTCCCCAATGAGGAAGTTTTCTCTTACTTTTACCTACCACCGTGACAGGAAGTGAAGGCGTATTTCTCCAATGGGAATAGGGAGGGCAACAAGGCACTTTAACATAGTGTAGTAGGAAGGGTTAGGACCTCCTTGTGTCCTCATATTCAGCTGACACCCCTTTATTGATGTACCTTGTTGTCAAAAATAGAAAAAAGTTTTGGTTGGATGCTTGGTTTCAATGTACAAACACCTGAAGGTTATTTTTTGGTTTAAGGCCAAAGAAATTCCTGGAGTGAAAATCTTCCGGTCAAGCTCGCCCATTTATTTTGCAAATGCGGAGCTGTTTGCCAAAGCCCTGAAGATGAAGGTGAGGGGGGCCGGGGTTTCTCCATGCTGAAAACCAGTTGTAAAGTTGCATGTTTGGAAATATCAGCCCGCGAATCAAAAAAACATCCTATGTTGTGTATAGAACGGTCCATCGTGAACAAAAATAATAAAAAAACTTGAAATTTACAAATGTGTCTTTCAGATGGGGGTCAATGTAGACAAACTGATTGAGAAGAAGAAGAAAGCCATCCAGAAGAGGAAAAAAGGCCTGCATAAAGTCATGAACCTGGCCAAGATGATCCTTGCCAAGACCCAAAAGGTGAGGAACCGCAATACAAAAACTGGCCTTTCTTCCAAAACTTTCCAACCCCATTCCTTTATATGGGAAAGCCATACTTAGAATAAATGCTTGAGGTCGCCATGAGTATGGTTTTCCTATGGAAATAAATGGAGTATTGTACAGTTTGCCAGGGATGGGTCCTGGATGGTAGATACGTATCACCATTGTATGGGTTTTAATCCCTATAAGGGGAGGCAATAAAGAACAGTTTTGGAGTACTCAGGATTAAAGGATAAATTCACCTTTTGGAACGTGTGACATGTTCCACTCGAATTAAGGGTGGATTATGAAACATGTCTCAGCAACTGCAGACTCCCCCCCCTTCTCTCAGCACCAGGCGGGACAAGGGGTTGGCAAGAGGGTCAGCTGCCCCTGCTGCAGTGAACTCATTGGGGGGGGGGGGAGGTGAGTTCCTGCCCCTGTAGAATTTTAGGTCTGTAAGTTTCAGGGAGGGAAGGGGAGGGCACAGTGAAGGGGGGGGCTGAATTTGTGGGAGTAAGGGGGATTTGACAGGGGCATTTGATAGGATCAGGGCCCTCCTTTCCCTCTTGTATTGAACTGTATTATTGCTGTATTGTCTCCTATTATATTGTAAAGCGCTGAGCAAACTGTTGGCGCCATATAAATCCTGTATATAATAATAATAATTAAAAAAAAAGTACCATACAGTATAATATACAAACTCATCATTTACAGATATAGCAAGTATAATAATGCATAAATGTTACTTACAGATTCAAATAGAGGAAGTAAGGATTAAGTTCAATGGTACACTCTCACATATGTCAGTAGGCGCAAAAGGGCATAAGATGGTACCACGATGGAGGGGATATTCAGGAACCAGCCCATAGCTCCAGAAGTCATACACAGGGGGAGAGAGGGGAAAACAGTGTTCCTAATATTTAGTCTGTAACTACCTACAAAAGGATTATCAAGACACCATCAAAACACTATTGGGCACTGCAAATGCATAGCTTCACATATACCACAGCCATCATGCTCAAATAAATACCCTTAGTAGTATAGGACGGTCTGGGGGCCTAACCGTCATCCAGCCAGAGCTACAATAGAATGGTTTAGATCAAAGCATAGTTATGTGTTAGAATGGCCCAGTCCAGGGGTGGACTGTCCATTCGAGCACTCAGGCACTGCCTGAGGGCCCGGGGTCAGTAGGGGGGACCCATTAGATTCCCCTGGTACCTTTCCAGGGGCAGACTGACTATTTGGAAACTCAGGCACTGCCCGAGGGCCTGGGGTCAGTAGGGGGCCCCATGAGATGCCCCTGGTACCTTTCATAGGCTTTTTTGGGGTGTGGGCGAGGACACAGGGGCCCCATGATCCCCTATTGCCCAGGGGCCCCATGAGTTGTCAGTCCACCCATGGCCCAGTCACAGTCCAGACCAAAATCAAATGGAGAATCTGTGGCCAGACTTGAAAAATTGCTGTTCCAAGACGCTCTCCATCCAATCTGACAGAGCTTGGGCTATTCTGCAAAGAAGAATGGGCAGAAATGTCCCTCTCTAGATGTGCAAAGCTGGGAGAGACGTCCCCAAAAAGACTTGCAGCTGGAATTGCAGCCAAAGGTGTTTCTACAAAGTATTGACCCCCGGGGGGCTGAATACAAATTCCACCTCACTTTTCACAGATTTATTTGTAAAAAATGTTGAAAAAAACATTTATCATTTTCCTTCCACTTTACAATTATGTGCCACTTTGTGTTGGTCTATCACATCCAATCCCAATAAAATACATTGACGGTTTTGGTTGTAACATGACAAAATGTGGAAAATTTCAAGGGGTATGAATACTTTTTCAAGGCACTGTATGTACAGATCCAATCAGTTACAGTTAGTGGTTTCAGTAGCTGTTTAAAAAAAAAAAAAAAATTAAAGCTACCAGACCTGTAATTTTCATCCTGTCATATTTTCTACGCAGGGAAGCGGTTTGGAATTTCTGACCAATGCCGATGGTATCATTGGAAGCCTAAAATCCATTAGCGAGTCCGTCCTCCAGAGTCCACCCAACCTCCGCTCTCTTGGCCTGCAGAGACTCGACTTCTACTCCCTAATCCTGGACTTCTCAGCTGTCAGCTTCATAGACACCGTTGGGGTGAAAATGTTAAAAATGGTGAGTATGACAGTGTTGGGATAAAAGAAAATCTGCATTTTAAGACAGAACCCCGACAGGCATTTATCATAAACTCTGAGGTGGGTATTGAGGGGTGCTAGAACAAAAATTCGTACCACTCAAAGGTCATTTTGCAATTTTCAGCAGTTTAGAGCACCCAAACGTGGGTCCTTGTGCGTGTCAAACACAAGGACCGTGGGCTTTATCCAACCCGCCAGGACTTGTCCTGTGGGCCTCGCACTTCTGAAACTGCAGCATCCCCCTCATCTCTGCTCCTACCTTATCTCAGCAGTCGGCAGCAGAGAGGAGGACAGAACTCCTCCTCCAGATCTTGATCTTCTCCTCTGTGTAGTCATGAAGAGTGGCTTGTATCTGCCCCCCCCCCCTTGCACCCCCTGTCTCAGCTGTCAGAAGCAGAGAGGAGGACAGAACTCCTTTTACAAATCCGGCACCTCTCTGTGCAGCTGCAGCACCCCCCTCATCTCTATGCACACCTTTTCTGAGCAGTCGGCAGAAGTAGAGAGGAGAACAGAACTCCTCCTCCAGATCCTGAGCTACTCTGTGCAGCCATGGAGAGAGGCTCATCTCTGCCTTGCCATCTCAGCAGATGGCAGCAGAGAGGAGGACAGAACTTCTCCTACAGATCCTGCACCTTTCTGTACAGCTGCAGCACCCCCTTGTCTCCACTCCCCTGGTCTCAGCAGCTGACTCCAGCCCTCCTCTTGTCCTCTTCCAGACCCTTCACTTTTTGCTTCCCAGCTTCTTCCTGGCAGCAGCACAAGTAAGAGGGTGCACTGTGATGTAAGAGAGGGTTGGGGACTCTTGACTTATGGTGGGGGGGGGGCTCTTGACATCTGATGAAAGGGTGGGGAGGTGCTTTGGACATCTAGCCTTACAGATACCGGCCCTTTGAGGGCAACCATACTGCTGATGCGGCCCGCGATGAAATTGAGGTTCACACCTCAATTTAGAGCATCAAATAAATCCAATGCGTTTCAGGGGAGACCTTTCCCTTCCTCAGGGATAAGGATGTTAACCTTGGGAGGTTTCCCCTAGCTATTATTAATTTCTGTGCCCTCTAGTCCCAAAAACGACTGCAGCAGGGAAGGTGAAATTTTCCCAGTGGGGTCACTGACCGCAATAAAAATTTGAGAGAAGTATTAAAACTGGGCTTAGCCAATTGTCACTTCCCCATTCTCCGCAAAGTCCCCCCCCCCCCCCACTATGTTAAATTAATTTTTTCGTTTGTTTTTTTTTAACTTACCTTTTTCAGAGATCTTCAGGCCGGTCACATGACCTCTCACAAATCTTCCTCTTCCCTCTTTTGTCCTGGGCAGTCCTCTGCTAATACAGAGAGCTCCCATGACATGATGATGCCAGCTGCACTTTGCATACCCACATGGAAGAAAAATATATT